CACACACACACACACACACACACACACACACCCCACCCCACCCCCCATGGCTAGACTGGAAATGGCAGGTAACAGGCATTGGCGAGGATGTGGAGGAACCAGAACGCTCCCGCCGTGCGACTGTACAATGGCGCAGCAACTTGGAACAGTCTGGCAGTTTCTGAAGCCCTTAACCCACCACAGGACCCAGCGGTCGCACTCCCAGGTATTAGAGGCCCGACCTAGGTCCTCAGCAGCCTGGACAGGCCGGTCCAGAGAGAGCAGCGTTAGTCACAAGAGCCTGGAGGCGGAGACCGCCCGGACGTCTGTCAGCAGACACACAGGCGGAACGCAGTGCGTCCCTATGGCGGGCTGTTTCAGCCAGAAAAGGAACTGGTACACGTTACACGGATGAACCTTGAGAAGGTGACGGAGTGAAAGAAGCCGGTCACACAAGTCCACAGGTTCTGTGGTTCGACTCACACGCAAGTGCAGAGAGCAGTCTCTAGAGTTAACCAGCGTTTGCGTAAGCCGGGGAGCTGCAGAACTACAGGTTCGGGTTTGGGGTTTTTTGAGACGATAACATCCTCAAATTGACTGTAGCCACGTGTACAGAACTCTAAGTATGCACGTGAAATGGGTGAAATTATCTCAGGAAAGATGTGGAGAGAGAAAGCATGGAGTCGAGCCTGTCCCTTCCCAGCTGTGCCATGAGAGGCAGTGGCGGCGGGCAGGTCCGACCCCGCCGAGGTGAACCTGCAGCACCTTGGCCACAGTGAACCCCGAACTGTGGGAAAATCGGAGGCAAGCCCAGGCCTGGCTCCTCTCAGCCTGGAAACCGGGGCAGGGGGGAGGCACCGCAAGGTGAGCCCTGATTTTTCTTTTATTTTCCAGAGCAATCCAAGGATATTATAACGTGAGAAGAGAGAACGACAGTGACAGGAATGTCATGCTTTTTGCGATAGACATGCTGAAATCAGTCCTAAAGGAGGTAGGTGCACGAGGCTCAGCCAGGGGGAGGTCCAGGAGGGTCCTCACCCACTCCTTGCACTAGGACCTCTGGTCCAGCCCCACGTCTGATGGGGGACTGGCAGGAGCTACAGGCCTCACTCCCCATGGGGGTCAGCCCCTGGAGCTCACATTTAACTCAGCACAGGAAACACATTTTATTGGCAGAGTGCCCCACTGTTATTGTCCACACACATCCCACAGCCCAGGTCCAACTTGGCCAGAGGCCATCCCATCATTTCTAGAGTGAGCAGATGATCATCAGTGGGGCCTGGGCTTTGTCCCTGGGAGCACCTGGCACTTTGACCTTCATCTGCTGTAAACACCTGACCCTGGGCCTCTGCAGACCTCAGCATCACCACCAAAGGCAAGCTGTGTGTGACCAGCCTGCAGTGCCTTCCTGTCTCCCAGGGAGGATCAAGTTTGAAAGGCTGCTCATTCTTTCAAGCTGACCTTACAGAATTATCAGAACCAGCAGCACCCTTGACTACTGGCACCTCCCATGCCTAGCTCTACAACCTCACAACTCAGAATGGCCCAGAAATCCAGGGTTTGGACATTTCTCTCCCTGAATCAGGCCCTTCTCGCGGACTCTGACCAGGCTCTGACTTAGTCAGTGTGTGACCGGGGAGCTGTGGGTCAGTCTGCCCAGTGGTTCACTGTGGGGCACCCTTTGGAACCACTGGGAGGCAGCAAGCCCTGGGAGGGCCCCAGCACACCAGAAGGGCTACGCCTCATCAAGCATGCCCTCCCCTCTCCAGCGGTTCCAGTACATACAAGTCCCGGACAACCATTATGTCCACCTGAACCAACCCCAGAACGTGGCCGGTATCATCAGCACCTTTCTGCTGAGCAAGGAGACAGCACCACACGAGCCGTAGCCTGGGCCTTCGGAGACCTGGTGCCCACCACCCAGCACCCAGATCCCTAGTGCCAGGCCCCCCCGCCAGACTGGGTGTGGTGGGGACAGGCCTCACTGGTCTGAAGCCCAGCAGGTGCTAAGGCAGAGAACCCTGGGCAGGATTTGGGGCGGGGGGAACGCAGGGCAAGATTCTTTTAACATTTCTGACTTCAAGGGGGAGACCCTGTTTGGATTTGGGGGCATTGTCTGTTTCATGGCTGATAATCTGCAGAGAGCGGGTAGCAGAAGAAGGGAGGAGTAGACAGGTGACTGCCCAGTGGATGAAAAATAAAGCGGTTCTTGTATTCTCACTGCTTCTGAGGGGCTCTTCCACTGAGGGGAAGGGAGACACACCCAGCTGGAAAGGGAAGGCCAGGGGCAGGCTGGGAACAGAGAGACCAGGAGAAGGAAACAACCGTGGCCTGGGCTGGTGGCTCCCGGCGGCCCACGCCCTCACGCTGGGCAGGCCTCGCCAGCACGATGCCCAACGTGCGCACCAGAACCACGGGAGGGCCCTGTCTTTCCACCTCCACCCGTGTGGGCTCGGATCTGGCAGCCCCTGGGCCTGGGCAGTCTGGGCGAGTTTTCCAGGTCTTCAGGTCCTCCCTGGCAGTGCACCGCCACCGTTCACTGCCCTTTTCCATGGGGCTCCAGGACCAGCTCAGCTCAGTAGGGTCGGAACTTGCGCTGTGCCCGCATCAGTTCAATCCGCTGCTTGTCTTCCTCAAACTTCTTGCGCAGCTGGGCTAGATCTGGGGGGGCGACGAGAAAGAGGAAATGGCCACGTTCGTCAGTGTACCCTGTGGGGACTGTGGCCCCCCCGCCCCGCTGGCCTCCGCTGATAGGGTCCGGATGCTGTGCGGAGACAGATGAGCCTGCAGGCCCAGAGGGTGGGCGCTCAAGCCAGGGCGGCACGCCTGAACTTTGAGAGAAAACTCAGAAGAGCGAGCACAGAGAAAGCACGACACCTGTTCCCTTACCACCCCCACCCCACATACCCAAGGTGAAGGCAGGCGGCTCTGGGGGTATGGGGAGCCCCCCCAGGGGCACCTCTCCCGGCCCCTCCCCACTGCAGCAGCCAGACGGGAGAACGTCAGGAAGGAGAGGGACTCCGCCCTCGGTGCCACAGAATTTGAACGGCGGCTCTGGTCACCAGGTGACCAGGTCAGAGGAATACAGAGGGGTGGGAGCCCGGCGGGAGAGCTGATGCAGCCTGTTGCGGTGATTCTAGGGAGAAGAGCAGGAGCGAAGGTGCCCGAGTGGGGAGCAGCAGCGAGACAGGCAGGAAGGTGACGTGCATGGGTGGCAGGTCACCACCCACTGCAGAGCCTGTCCCCCTGCCGAGGACAATGCCAGCACTCTCTACCCCCAGGCCCACAGGGAAGCCACTCAACAAACAGGGAATGTAGCCTGTGGCACAAGCTCAGCATCATCACAACTAAGAGTGGGCCACGGGCGATGGGGTGCTCGCCTGAACACTGTCCATGTGAGGACGCCTGCCCCACTCCCCCCCCAATTCTCACACACACACGGTGCTCGCCCCAACACTGTCCATGTGAGGGTGCCTGCCCCACTTGGAACTCCCTCTCTCTCTCACACACACACACACACACACACACACACGGTGCTCGCCCAACGCTGTCCATGTGAGGGCGCCTGCCCCACTCCCCCCGACACTCACTCTCCCCACAGTCACTCCCCCCAATACACAAACGCTCACCCAGCAGCGGCCCTCTCGCTGTCCCCACAGTGAGCACCTGAGATCCACCCTCTGCAATCTGGCCCCCGTGGGAGGATGACAGGTTCCAGCACCAACTGCTCAGGGTCTGGAGGCGGTCCTACATCCCAGGTGTGTCTGAAGCCTCTGAACAACCCAGGGGCCCCCACTGCTGCCACTGGGGAGCAACAGGGGGACCACCACAAGGGATGCTGCAGGCTGGGACCTTAAGTCCAGAGCCTGTTGGGAAGTCTGTGCCCGGGGACACCCCCTTCCACACCCAGGTCCCAGTGCCGCCCGTGGGAGCCCTCTGCTCTGGCCGGGGCTGGCAGCAGTAGCCACGGGCCTCGTCCACAGGGCCTGGGCCCCAAGGGAAGTAAGTGGGGCTGAAGCACAGGGGTTTGGGGCGCTCCCTTACGCTCCATCTTGGTCTCTCGGTGCTGCCAGGCGTAAAAGTTGAGCAGCTCCTTGCGGGCGCGCTTCCGTCTCTCCCTCTCCAGCACCCGCAGGCTCGCCGCCTCTGTCCGCGGCAGCACGGGCCGCCGGCCCCGGCGGGTCACCTTCACCCAGCCCTCCTCGTCTGGAACCCCTTCCTCCTCCTTGGCCTTAGCCTCCTCCTGCAAGGAACAGGCGCTGTGACGGGCAGACCCTGGGACCCCCTGCAGCCTCAGGTGCCCCTCCCCTGCCCTCCCTTCGAGGCTCTCCCTGCAGCACCCAGAACCTCCCTGGGCACCCACCGCCACCTGCTGCACCCTCTCCCTCGCAGTAGCTCAGTATGGGGGGCAGGGGGCACAGAGGTGCCAACATTGCCTCCTCATCCCTCAGACTGTTTCTTACAGACCAGAGACTAGACGTCACCCAGCTAGGTGACACAGGACTCAGCGGGGAAAAAGGGAGCCTGAACTCTCACAGTGACCCGCACAGGGTGCCACCGCCCATCCTCCTCTGGAGCGACACCACAACAGCCATGACACCACCTTCCCTGTGGAAGCCCCACCTCAGCTATCCTCTCGTCATACGCCTCCATGAACGTGTCCACTTCGACCCTCAAGGCCTCCGGGTCTGGCACTGAGTCTGTGTAGTTGCTGATCCACTCTGAGGGAGAAAGGAGGGAGGAAAACGGGGCTTCCTCAGGCCTGATACTCGGGGCCCCACCTGCCCAGCCAATCAGGATCATCTTCTTCTTATTATTTTTAAGATTATTTATTTGAGAGAGGGAACACAAGCAGGGGGAGTGGGCGAGGGAGAAGCAGGCTCCCCGCCGAGCAGGGAGCCCGATGTGGGACTCGATCCCAGGACGCTGGGATCATGACCTGAGCCGAAGGCAGACGCTTAACTGACAGCCACCCAGGCGCCCCCAGTCAGGATCTTCTCATACAGGCCACGAGGATGGAGACCTGTGGCCCAAGGAACGTTCTAGTGGCAGCAAGCTGGGCCCTCCTCTCCACCCACCCTGGGCCCAGGAAGGAGGGTGTGACACTGCCGTGGTACTGACTGTGAATGCCGCTCTTCACAGGGTGACTCTCTGTTGAAACCAGCAAAGGGCCCTTCAGGACTAAGGCAGCAGACACCCCACCTGGCTTCTGGAACACCACGTAGGCTACCTGGAAGCCCTGGAGGAGGGAAGGAGAGATGTCAGAATGCCAGCATCCCTCCCATCCTCCCGGCCACCCGGCTCCTGGCACCAGGGCTCCCAGCTGCCCTCAGCCAGACTCGTCGCTGGGCCAGGTGACATGTGCTGGGCTGTTCTGAACCGTGAAGATAACCAAGAAGTTCTCTGTAATCCTGGGGTTACACACAGCCATGCTGCTAGTTTTCCAACTTCTGCCAGAGGCGACCCAGGTGAGGTGAGACACTCGGGACCTCCCTTCCAGGTACAGGAGGGACGCAGTGACAAGCGAGCTCGCCACACACTGGGAGTGGACAGAGCGCACACTAGCTCAGACTACGCTACGCCAGGAGGAGGTGTGGGCTCGGGATGGGGAGACGAGACCAGGCCATGGGGCCTCAGGAAGAAGGGACTTCGGTTGGGGAGCAGGAGGGGAGCTCAGGGAGGCCCTTCAGGGCGGCGAGCAAGATGGTCTCTGAGCTCTCAGCAGGACGATGGAAGAGCTGGACAAGAAGCTAAAGGATGTGGCAAATCCAGGGAAAGGAGCAGAGGTGCTGGGGATACCGCCCTGGCCACACCCCGCACCCCCAGGTGAGCAGACCACAGCACTTGGACACTTACCGGAATGGGCGTGGGGTGAAAAAACTTTGATTTTGGCTCCTTTGGGCTGTCAGCAAGTTCTGGCTTCTCCTGTAACTGCACAGACTGGACGGGGCCGCAGGGGGAGAAGAGGCGGGACAGGCACTCCTGCCGTGGACCCGGCGGGGGAAGCACAGCATGAGGGGCTGCAGGGGCCTCAGGGAGCCTCCCTCCGCCCAGGGTGGCACGGCCAGGGGACCAGGGCCCCCAAAGGTCTCGGAGCCCATGTCCGCCCAACTGGGGGGCACGTACACAGGCCCTGAGCCAGCCACACCCCCCTCCGCACAGTCATCGTCCTGCCCCCCCACAGCCCGAGCCGACAACCCTGTGAATTTTCATGTTGAAAACTGTGAGTAAAAAAAAAAACCACACCGCCACTGGCCATGGGACACCGGAGGGAGCAGACGCAGCGTGAGACAGAATTCAGGTATAAACTTTTTGGCTTTATGACAGGACCCTGCAGGGACCATGTGCCCGGGATGTTTGGTTTGTCCCTGAAAGGGATTTCTCACTTTGAAAGGCCAGCCGTCTTTCCCTGACCCTTTCTCTGGGTGAATGATCCCCAAAGGAGGATTAAGTTCTATTTCGAGAACAGGTGGGAACATTTCTGGGGTTATTCGGAGGTATTCTGATTTTATGAGACAACCAACTAAGTTTTCCTCCCTGAGCAGCCATTGAAAACTGGAGTTAACTCTGTGTTGTTGGGACTCGGGCTGGCGGTGAGCCTCTTGAGGGGATTTCTTGGGCGCAGGTCATGTTCTGTTTCTGGGTGCTGAGTACGTGGGTGTGTTGTTTGTGAAATGCAGCAAGTTGTAGCCCAGGGCCCGGGCCCTTCTCTGTACACACGCTACACTTCAGGAAACGTAAGACATGACGCAGCCTCTCCTCTGCTTCTTTCTCTGACTGTACAAGAATCTTTTAGAAATTAGTATTTCTCTCGAGGATTCTCTCTCTCCCTCTGCCTCGCCCCCCTCACTTGCTCTCCCTACAATACGTAAATCTTTAGAAGTTAGTATTTCTTTTTTGAAAAACAATCTAAAATGCAGCAACACCCTTAGTTTCTCTTCTGTGAAGTTATGTAATGCAAAACTTAACCATTTTTGTGAAAATAAATTAATGTCTGGATAGATTTAGAGAATA